AATAGTAAAACATTAAGAATAATGACAATTTTAACAGCAAAAACATAGTAATGATACTAGTCATAATAATAACAATAATAACAGCAATAATAGTAATAGTGATGATAATGATGATGAGGGTGATGATTATGATGGTAATGATAATGATACTAGTAATGATGATGATAATAAAAGTGATAATAACTAATCCTCATAATGATAATAATAACAATGATAATTATAACTATTCTACTACTACTCCTAATAATGATAACAATACTTAAAATAATGAAAAAGATAACAAATGATAATAATAATGGTTATGATGATGATGATAGTAGTAATACTGATTATAAAAAGGATAACTAATCAACAATAGTAATGATATTGACAATAGCAATTATGATAATGATAGTAATAATTATAATGATAATAATATCAATAATAATGGTAATAATGAAAAGAAAAAATAATAATGATAATAAAAAAATTATAATGATAATAACAAAATGATAATGAAAAGAATAATACTGATAACAACAAAAATAATAACAATTATCATTATCATTTCGATAATGATAATAATGATTATTATAAGAATGATAATGATAGCATTGGTAGTAACAATGATACCACTAATAAGGATAATCACAATAATAATAAACATAATGATATATTACTGATTATGATTATATAAATGATAACAATAATCATTTTTGTTATTATCATTACTATTATAATCATTTCATCATTATTACTATTATTATCCTTATTATAATTATCGCAATGATAATGATATCACTAACCATTATTATGATTATTACTATTACCATTATTCTTATTATTCCTAACGTTATCAATGATGATTATTAATATCATTATCATTGTGATTACTATTTTATCATCATTATTATTATAGCTATTATTATCATTGTTATCATCATCATTATTGTAATTATTGTTGTTATCATAATGCTAATAGTCATTGTTATTCTAATTATAATAATTATCAGGATTATAGGAGTAATAACAATAATAGTGATAATGATAATAATAATAATGATAATTAAATAATAAAATAATAATAATGATAATAGTGATACTACTACTACTACTACTACTACTAATGATAATAATAATAATAATAATAATGAAATTATGATATATGATAATATGATAATGATAATAACAATAAAAATAATGCTACTACTAATAACAGCACTACCACCACTACTACTACTACTACTACTCCTACTACTACTACTACTAATAATAATAATGATAATAATAATGATAATAATAATAATAACGATAGTGATAGTTATTACTATAATAATGATAGTAGTAATAAAAAAATAGGTATTAATAATAATACTGATGATAATATAATAATAATAATGATATAATTAATAATAATATAATAATAATAATAATAATAATAATAATAATAATAGTATTATAAATAATGATAATAGGATTAACAGCAATAATAAAGGTTATATTATCAATATCAATAAACACAACAATAATGATAAGATAGCGTCGATAATCATAATGAATTGATATCTATAATTTTGATAATATATTATAATTGATACGAAAAAATATAATAACGAAATAATTATAATGATAAGAATAGTAATGCTACTAATGTCATCATTATTACTCCAATTTTCAATTAGAATAGCGATTGTGATTATCATAACAGTACTAAAATCACCGGCAAAAATAGACAAGTTGTAAGGAAAAGAACAATTTCAAGCATAAACTTGCACCAAAAAAAAAAAAAAATAAAAAAAATAAATAAATAAATGAAAAAAGGAGAGTGACAGTACTGAATAAATATTACAAGATGTTATCAACCAGTGACATTGGGCGCAAAGTTACCCTCAAAATATCGAAGTGTCTATTTCGTATGCCGGATGCCCAGGTCTGCCGTCTTCTGCTTGAAAAAATCGTCGTAGTGTCTATTTCGTATGCCGGATGCCCAGGTCTGGCGAAGAGAGGGTGTGATAGACGCAATAAGATCCATTTTACCTTGTAACGGCAGAGGATATACGACCATCCGGTAAGTTTAGTATAGCATTGCCATCAGTCGAGATGTGATAACTGTAGGTCGAGTTAAGTTCACTCACTATTTTTTTGTCATTATTGCCAATCATTCCTTGTTTGCTTTCGTAAATGATTAATATATTTCATTTCAACTACTTCCTTTAATCATATTTCAATAAACCAAGTAAATAAATATTTCTCATCGACATTACAATTCCACAAAAAGTAACTCAACATGGAACGATTTTTATCCCTGATTAGGCATCCGGTCACCCGTCCAGCACGAATGTCAGTCTCGCCGTGACGCTCGCCATGCCAGGGTGTCTCGCGATGTCAGGTAGCATTTTTTCTTGTAGGAGTTGTGGTTGTGAGAACTGTGGGGTTATTTGTTGTAGTTACGTGACAGATAGTGATAGTGTGTGGTAAGGTGTTTAATTTTCTCTTCTTTTAAGATATAGTGTAAGGCTGA